GTACACCTTGAACTATAGGCAGATAATATTACCGGCAAACACAAGGGAGACTGGAAAGGGCATTTTTGGCTTATTAGACGTCGTCAGCCAGTCATACCCAGACTCCAGTGGCGTCCCACCCGAGTCTCGAACTCGCAACCTCTTTGATCAGAGTCAAAAGCCCTCACCATTGAGCCACGAGCACTTTGTCTTACTGGATTAGGTCGAGAACTATTGAAACTCAGTGATGGACGTTAACCCGACCGCTGGCGGAACGCATCTGTACCGCTCTGCTTGGAGTCACGACAGAGGCACTGACAGCCGTATCAGCTGGTAGTGTAGGCGGATTGTATTACCGGCAAAGATAAGGGAGACTGAAATGGCCATAGTCTCTTTGCCCGTGATACTATTTGCCTACTAAAACAAGCTGCGACGGATTTCAGAGCCTATGTCGAGACGCCAGGCAGAGAGGGACAGACGAGTTCCGCCAGCGGTCGGGTGAACGTTCATCACTGCGTATCTTGTAGTATCCCGATGTTTCCTAACTTTTTGAATGTCCAAACAACAGCTCCGATAATACTAACACATGTTCATTACATTTTCCTTCAAACTGCTTTGCGGCAGACCGGACAGGCTTAAACTTATTATCGCCCCATTGGGATCTCCTCCAAAAACTAAATCTGCGTAAACAATTAGGGTGCGTTAATGTGTTAGCACGAAGGACAATAAGTGGTCTGATTAGTCAGTCCATTTTCCTCTACCGATATTTGGATGACGCTTGAGTGACGCGCACGCCACCCGAGCACATTAAAACATGCTCACGAAGATTTTGACTCACTAAACCGAATTAATTTTGCTCCCAATGCTTTCCCTAAACGATAGTTCAATTTTACTAATTATCTTCTGTCCTCTGGCGGTTGCTGCAGCTCTCCGCTTTTTTTAAATTTACATCAAATTTCGGTCTTTGGCTACAGACCTTGAACAGACTGATCTGGAGAAAGTTGAAAAATTAATTTTTAAGGAAATTTAAATAGCTGAAATTGTAAAACTGGTGTATCAACCAGAAAGCGTAGAGCAGGGGTCGGCAACCTTTTTGACTCAGAGAGCCAACAAAGCAAATATTTTAAAATATATTTCAGTGAGGGCCATATAATATATTTTAAGATTGCGTTCAATTAAATGTGAGTATAATAAGCCTCTGGATTTATTAATGGAGGAATCAAAGTCAAAAAATCAGAAGTTTCTAATTCCAATTTTATCTGAGAGAGCCAGAGGCAATCATCAAAAGAGCC